AAATAGCAGATTAAACAGAATCCCCTGGCCTCAGATAGCAACTAGTCTAAAAGAAGGCAAACTCAGAATTCAAAACCATGGAAAAGACAATAGAAAATTATTCCACTATATTTCCCAAGAAGCCATAGTGATTCCCAGATAAGAAAATGGAATCTGTACAGAGCCATAATCATGACAAGACCGTTTTTTTTTCTTTTTAAATGCCAATAGAATTGCATGCTGGCAAAAAATATAACATCCATGTTGTTTTACTTAAATACCGATAGAGTTGCAAGCTGGCAAATGCAAAACAGTAAGAGAAACCTTTACTGCAATGATAAATAAATGGTTGCTAATAATAATAATAATAATCTAACCTGAATAGGTATATTTATTTTTAGCAAATTTCTTATTGCATTATATAAAAATGGATACCAAGTCTAGTTGTTGGGGTGGGGTATGAAGAAATAAGTAAAAAAATAGAACATGAAAAAAAATTTGTGTAATCAGAAGCACGTGTCAGATTCTAAACATCATCAACAAAAAATTCTATCAATTTTTTATGATCTAAAGCAGTGTTTCCCAACAGGAGTGTTAGCACTCCCCCCCCCTTGTGAGCTCTGTTATGTTAAAAGAGGGTATTGGGAGTTTTCATTTCATTATTCAGGGTTGTGATGGGCATTTATCCATTTTTTTCTCAAATTTTCAAATGAAACTAAAGAGCCTTAGCCAGTATGCACCAAGGTCGGCTATCACATTGAAACATCGAGATAGTTATCAAATGAACCTAGCCTTAGCCAGTAATCATCAAAGTCAACAATTGCATTGAAAACATTGACATAAGCTATCAAATAATTTTTTTTTTTAACATTTCAATCATTGGCATTTATAATACAAATGAAACAATTTGAAAAACATTTTTGCATTAATACCTAAGTGTTATCTATGAAAGATGAATTCAGTATAATGTTCAAAATTTAATTTGAAGGTTGGGGAGGGGTGACAAAAATGTTTGTGTCCAAAGTGGGCATTGGTTGAAAAAAGGTTGGGAAACATTGATCTAAAGCATAGATCAAAATTATAGTTTTTGTTCATAGCAGAAGAGAAATAATGGATTTATTTTTTTAGTATAAATGTACCATCGTACAATCAGAATTCCATTTCTTTAATTCAAACAGAAGTGCTCACATCCACAGCTCATATGACAAAAACAGATTAATTTCATTCAGCTCTACACACCAATGTCCAGAATAAAAAAAAAAAAAAAAAAAAAAAAAATTCTACAATCAGAAAAAGGCCAATGCAGTTTTCACAGCAGCCATTTCTGAGCCACTAAGCCCATGATGATTTCACCCCCAAAGGGAGATCTAACCAGGTTGGCATTGATGACCAGGTTGGCAGGCAAGCTTAACCAGGCCATCAGCAACACCAAAACTCTCTCAACAGTGATGCCTTCAGTCAGCGTAGTATTTTTGAATTAAAGAATTGGTTCTTGAATTAGGTGACAGGCTTGGGGGATTAAAGTGGTTCATAGGTGCATAAGTATACTAGTGCCAAAAATTTCATAGATATGTTTTAATTTACAGATAAAAAGACACAAAAAGTATTGTTGTTATTTGGGATCCAGGAAACAGTTTCCCTAGATATAAATTTTTCCTTCATTTAAGACAGCAATAATTCTTGGTTAGTATCACATTATTTGTTGTTTTTTGCATCTTATTACTGTTGCAAAAAGATTTTTGTATGACAAAAGTGAATTATAGGGATACAAAATGTGATTATCTCCCTTTGGTTGAGATGAAAGTCATATGGGTTACATGGCGGTTGCTTGGTAACATCATGTCATAGGGTGACAAAAAGTGGCCAGCCATCAGTCAACTTTAAGGAATCAAATCAAGTAGTTAGTTTTTTGGGGTTTTTTTTTAGCATAGGTCTGCACTCCTCTGCCCAGGCCAGTCAACTTTTCTGATGGACAGCTTACAAGTCCATATATATATATATATATATATATATATATATAAACTATCTCCAGCTTAATTTGGGAAAAACCCATGACTCACCCTTTCCTGTTTGCAAAATATGTCTTCACAAGTGACATAGCAGATAAATCTGGCCTGCTCGAATCTGGAATTTTAAATAAATTCTCCAGAAATACAGAAGAACCTTTGGTGGCTCCAATTCACATTGGGAATTATTAAAAGTAAGACCTTATCTTTTTATCTTCTTTTCACACAGCTTGTTGTGTAGACATGCATTATAGTTTCTTTACACGGGACAAATGTAAACATGAGTTTATAATTTTGTATATGACTTAGTGGTATAAAACTCTGAGAATAAAGCATGTTTGCCATTCCTTTTTTTTCCAGCTATTGCATTCAGTGTATTAAAGTGTTATTATATCATGGATACAATGCATATAATAGTATGGGGCAGAGGTGCAAATAAGAAAATGTTCCTTTCTTCCATAGCTCACCAATTATCTGGTGATATACCCGATGATGTTATAAGAATCAGAATTCATTAAGGGCTCAGAATATGGGACTAATTAAAAAAAATAAAAATAGGGCAAATATAAAAAAGGGTTAAAAAGCTAAATTTAACAACAACTTTCTTCAAGATTTTTAAAAAAAAAAAAAAAAAAAATATTTTAAATATTTTATTTTGTTTTTTTTTTTTTAAGGTTATTACAGGTTTATTGATTTCATTTGTCTTTTAAATTTAAATTTTTATTTTACAATTCAGAGTAGATTTTTGGTGAATGGGTTTAAAAAAAAATAGATGATTTTAATAATTACATTCTCCAAGGAGTCCTGCTTGTAACCAATAAAAAAACCCACCCTAAAACTTGAACGTCTCGAAATTTCATGAAATTAAGTAAGTGGATGGTAACATATATAGCAAGATTTTATAAAAAAATTTCAAAAATAATTTCATTCATTTCTGAATATGTCCTGAAAATTTCATTTAAAATCCAACAATTATTTAATTTTTGCAAGAATTTCCAAATCAATGTGTTTTTTCACCGGAGAAAAGCGCTAAAAACCCCCACTAATAAACGTAAAAATAATAGTACATCAATCGTTGACGTAAAACAAAAAAAAAAACAAAAAACAAAAAAACAAGATTTTTAACCAAAATTTCGAACGTGAAGAAAGGGTTAGAAATTTTAAAAAAATAATTAAAAAATACTTTGGTCTTTCTTCTTAATAACAAACATTTTTGATAACAAAACTTTGTTTTTATTGAGTTGAGGCCTAATGCTATGTTTTTCCGCGAAAAAAGCGGAGGTACCTAGAACATTTGTTATATAACTTATCAACACTATATTTTGTGATTAAAACCGAAAGATATCTTGGATTTTAAGAATAATTCATTTTTTGTGAGTGAATATTGCATTTTAAAACTTACAATTTTTTTTAAGAATAACACGGATACAAGTTATTGTAGAGCAGAGTTATTTTTCAAGGAGAAAAGTGGAATTATTCAAAATAAATGTCGAATAAAATTAATATTTTTTATTTTAACATCACAAAATTTAAAAATCATTTTATCATAAAAGCAAAACGTAAATAATTGTAAAAAAAATGTCAATGTATTTTTAAAGTTTTGTTTTATTGTTATTTTTCCAATGTTAACAAGAAACAAACATTTTTCTGGGTAGTAAGGTTTTCCAATTTTAAAGTGCATAAGGCAGGCCGAAGTATGTAACGGCCGAAGCATTATGACAAGACAATGACAATAGTTTTTTTTATAAAATATGAAGAGATACAATTCTTTGTAATTACAGGTGAGTGTTGAAAAAGATAAAGGTGCTTTACACCTCTATGAAGGTCAACCCTCATGTGCCAAAGATTGCTGCAATCATTTTTTTCTTTTTAAATAAAAATATTTTTTTGTTTTTGATTGATTTTGAATACCATAAAAAATTATAAATATTTTTTTTTAATTCGTTAATAAATCTTTTAGTTTTAAGTTAAGTATTACTGGAAATTTTAAGTTAATTTTCGTGTTTTGTTGGGGTTTTTTTCCTGGGAAGCGAATTTAAAAAGAAAATTTTAATTTTTTTTATCTCTAAATCAATTATCAATTAGAGAATTTTTAATTTAAAATTAATAATCTGAAAAATAAAAATAAATAATCCAAAACAAAAAAATGTACTTCCACACTTGAAAAATAAAAATTGGAAAATTTAAGTTTTAAATCAATTGTATATAATTATCAAATAAAATAAAATTTAGTTAAATTAATTAATTTGACTAGTTAAAGAGATTAAAGTGGAAACTATTTCATTAATTAAAAAACTGACAAGTTTTAGTTATTTGTTCAAAAAAAGTTTTTTTCTGCAATTGTTTCTTTTCTTAAGTGAAAAGCTAAAAAGAAAAAAGTTAAATAAAAGTAAAACAATTAATTTCCTTAAAATTATCAATCAGCTGTTGCATTTTTTATTTATCTTTGACTTTACTTTAAAAAAAGGGGGGGGGGGTAAAAGTTATTTTTAAACGAAGGTTATTTGACGAAAAAGGAAAACGATTATTATTATATATTTTTTAATTTTAATTTAACTAAGAATAAAAATCAGTTTTATTTTTTATTTATTTCTGAAACAATCCCATAAAAATAAAAACGATTCCTGAAACAAATTTTATTTAATATTGAACATTTTTCAAAAACGAAACAATTGTTTCTTAAATTATTGAATTATATAACAATTTTTAGTCCTGCAAAAATAGGTGTAAAAATATGTAAAATAAACAGTAAAATAAATTATAGTTTAACCAAATTAAAACAAAAGGAAAAATCATTTTTAGGTATTTTTTTTTTCTATTTACAGTTTTTAAAGACTATTTTTGTCAAGATATGTTTTTTGGGTGCGGAAAAGTTAGGAACGTAATTAATTAGGCAAATCAGTTTTCTTTTAATTATGTATAATTTAGCGACTTTTGCTTTTTAAAACAAGAGAGAAAAAATAAACAAGGATTTAAAAATGTTAAATAAATGAATATAACTAATTAATTACTTACGGCAGTTTGAGGTAATATTAGTTTCAGCATCTTGAATCTAAAAAGGTAGTTGATCTCAAAACAAGAAAGCAAAAACAGGAATCAAAACAAATTAGTTTGGTTGTAAAAATAAACGTATTAAATTCCGGAAAGAAAAGTTGAAAGATGAAAATAAAAGTTTTTTTTGTTTTGTTTTGTTTTTTAGGTGTTTGTGTGTGTGAGTTAAAAAAATAGAGAGATGTTGCCTGATTATTTAAAATAAACAGACCTTCATGGGACTCTCTAATTAAGAACGTGTATAAAAACACAGATTTATTAATACTAGTGGAAAAGAAAAGATATGATGTGTTCTGTCACACACCATAATTGACCCGGGTTTGTCAGCATGCCGTACAAAAATGTTAAAGAGTGATACATTTAAAGGGAAATAAATAGAAGTAAAACGGAAGGAAAAAAATCATCAGGGTAGGGATGAACTTCACGAATTTATTCACATATTTATTTTCGAAATAAAGTTTGAAAACTAGAATTAAAATTTATTTTCATATCACTTTTCTATTTACATTTCCCCACTTATTCCTTTCACTTGAAAAGAATAAAAATGTTTGGTACTTGTAAGTTACCTGTCGCCACTTTTTAAAATTTAGTTTTACTTTTTTTTCTAAGAATATCTCCCTAAATTTTAAAAGATTACTGGATAGTTTTTATTTAATTTTATTTAACAATAAATTAATTTTCCAACTTTTTCACAAATACACGTGCATAAAAAAAAAAAATATATACTATCCCAAAAAGATTAATTTCGCAGTCTGGTTAAAAAAGAAGAAAAAAACATTTTAAATACCACATGATAATCTCTAACTTTATAAAAGACTTTTATTAAAAGATCACCAATATGCAAATTAAGAGTTGGCAGAAACCTCACAAGAAACGCATTTAAAAAAAAAAAAAATGACGACAAATAACCCGCTACCAAATGTTTTGTTTTTAACGAGGAAACAGGACAGGGTATTATTTTTTTTTTATTATTTTAAAAATTATCGACTTGTAGTATAATTGTTTAAATTATTTGTTAGAGAAATACCCATGAAAATTTTACAGTTTCCTTATTTTAATTTTCTAATGAATTTTAATTCTTAAGTTAATGATTGGCTATGGTCATGGCAAGTTCTACAATAAAATATACGTAGAAATTCCCCTATCACATCGTTAGATATTTGAGCTTAACAACTTTAACAAGAAAATATTGCAATAATAATCATTATTGATTGTTATTTTACGTAGTAAGTGGGTAAAAATGAAATTGACAACTTTTCCATTTCACTGAAACAGACGTTAAACATCTAAAAGAATACCCGCTCGGCCCGGTGGCTAGGATCAAAGTGTAGTATCTGCGCTTTGTGAGCTGCCGAGCCGGGTGTCTGTCGAACTCTCTGCTTGCAGAGGGAACCCGGACGAAGCTCCGCCGAAGGGTGGGGGGTTTCGTTCGGGGAGGTTGACGGAACTAGAATTGGACGGGTTTAGATGGGTTTATTTTTGGCTGGGCCTACGGGCTCAGACATACCCACATTAAAAGGCCTTGTGCCACATTCAATTCCTGTGGGTGAATTGATAAATACCATCTATCAGTTTCTCACTGAAGTAGTGCCTCTGATATGTGTTTTTTGTCTCGCGATCAAAATGGAATAATCTATTATTTATGATGGGGTATTGGCAGGAGGCGTTATTTCTATTTTGTCTTCTTTCACTCTTTTTTTTTATCACTGAAACCAAATAAAGTCTCTGATATGCATTTTATCTTTCCACGTGATCAAAACGGAATAGTCCATTATTTATGAGATATAGGCAAGTCACAAGACGTAATGATTGCGCTAAGGAACTAGGGAGGGATAAGCAGAATGATATTTTAAGATTTTTTAAAATTCATGTTCCTTTAATTCCTTTTAGTTTTAAATAATCAATAGAAGTGAATAATAAAATACAGTGTAACCCGGATATAAGAGAGTTGTCGGGGCCGGAGAAGAAGTCTCTTATATCCGGTTTTCTATTTATATACATTCCAGGCTCTAATTTGGGACCAGAGAAAATCTCATTATATCAGGTTTCTCTTATATCCGGGTTTCTCTTATATCCGGGTTTCTCTTATATCTGGGTTTCTCTTATATCCGGGTTACACTGTAGTATCATGGGTTATTCCACTTGACTTAGCTAATAAAAAACGTCTCCAGGTGCTGCTCCTTAAGCCTATAGAAAATCATGCATTTTTCTCCCTAGTCTCTTTTCTCTTTTGCAGCTTCTGGCTACAATACATAGTCACACTTAAGGAAAAACGTGTCCTTCACTGGGGCACATTCATTTTCATAGCTTTACTGTTCTCTCTTGACTTTTGAACTCTTCCACACACGTGTCTATCACATAGGCCGACACAAATTTCACACACACAAAAACACATTCTCTAGTTTAAATGTTTTCTCCCTTTATTGTAATTCCTTTTGTCAATACATGAAATTAGTTATTTGTTTCATATTGTTTCGTGTTACTCAATTTTTACTTGTACTCACATTGAGTCTGCTAATAATGTTTGTGGGATAAATTTTCCAGGAGCCTGTAAATATTTACTATACAGACTGCTGCAACATAATGGTGACTAAATATTTACCCAGACATACCAGCAATCCTACATTAGTATAATAGAAAAGATGAATTATAATTAAAATATATACATTTGTTCAGTAACCATTTATAATAGAAATCAAGATTCACAATTAAATCTAGTTTATTCTATGAACAATAACATTTTCTAGCAATCTTTGATGAAAACAACTTACAAAAATTTTATTTTTGAGATATTATTTAAATAGGTAATTTTTTTGACAAAATAACTAATACAGTACATCTCCTCTAAGCCAAACATCTTGGATGTTTGGCATTGACGGTACTGTTCAGATTTGAGAAAGAAAAGGCTGCTGTGGCAAGCTTAAATTTTTTATTAAGTTTTAGAATTCAGGATACAAAAGGTAGTTTGTAACGTTGATTTGTTTTTATTTAAAGTGTAGATTGAATACATAAATTTATTAAAAATAATTGACAACCAATAGGCATGAAAAAATTGGTGCTCAATAAATATTGTAAATTGGGAAAAACTAAGACACTTTATGAAATGTTTAAAAATTTATGAAAGTTATAAATTTATCATTGAAACACAATTACAATCTGTAAAGGAAGTCAAAATTAAGGATATACAGTACAATTCTTCTAAACTGAACATCTGAGATGTTTCATATTGAAGGTACTGTTCTGATTTGAGGAAGAAAAGACTTCATATTCATGTCAATACAAAAGTTTGGATTTGAAATTGAGTATAAATTTGAGGAAGTCTAATTTGAGAAAGTCTAGATGTTCGGATTAGGAGAGTTGTATTTAATCTAATTTGATAAAATAAAAAAATTAGACCATATCCTCATAGCGTTTTTGGATTGTCACTCCCAATGATAGTTACACATGGTGTAATATTTGAAAGGCTCTTCCTATTTTCCCTTCAACTTTTGGAATGGCAAAACATGTTACCTTTCACTCCAAGAGACATGAGGCATGTAAGTACATCGACTAAAGATTGTTTTGAACTATTTATAACTTAAACTTCATTTCTTTCTTTATCATATATAACAGGTTTGTGTTAATAGATTTATTAATTGTTGTTTGTTTGAATCACATATTTTGTGGCCTTTTTTTTTTTTTTTACCCAGACTCACGTGAGTCCTCCAAATATGGTTTGTGGGACAAATGTACGAGGAGGCATAAAATGATAACACTTTCCATTTCTGAAATATTAAGGTATTATTAGTGAAGTTAATGAGCTAGTATCCCAAAACAAGTGGATCAGAAATTGTGGAGTGAATAAAACCTGCTACAATGAAGGTGAATTTGAAAAGAAGAGAATCTTGTCAAGCTTAACACAAGAATCCAAATTGCATACGTTGTTGTATTATCGAATTGGGTGGTATGTAACATTTCTTTCATCCTTACTTTTTTGTTTCTCAGTCATTCAAGGCATTCTCTGCAAGCTGCAATTTATTACTTCACCATTATTTTTATATATATATATATATATATATATATATATATATACACAATAAAATTTATAATCCCCCCATATGGAGAAACCCCTTCCCTATAAGGCTAATACCTTCTGCCATCCCCTGACCACTGTCTTATGCCTTTCATCTGACTGAAACATTGCAATGGATAAATTCTATATTAGTTTTTTGTTTTGTTTTGCCCCTATTACACTAAGTTACGGGACTCATGATCAATTTAAAATACGTATATTAAAACACTTTTACAGCTGTGTTTAGAAACTATATGTATAGTGATTTTCCAAGCATAGCTTAGATGTGGCACAAGGCTGAATGTATGGGACACCCAGTGATGATCGAACTCACTACTCAGTAGTAATTGATCTAATTTCTTTCATTCTTACTTTTTTGTTTCTCAGTCATTCAAGGCATTCTCTGCAGTTTCCTTCTATTTTATCGCAATGTGACTGTCTTCTAAAGTCAGGCGAATATCTTGATACCTCTTGCTTGCTAGATTACTGAACATACAATAATCACAGTGTGATATTTGAAAGGCTCTTCCTCTTTTTCATTTGACTTTTGGAGTGGCAAGACATGTTTTTTTACACTCTGATAGGCATGTAACTACACCAGAGACACAGATTGAAGATTGTACTGAACTGTTCATAACTTCAAATTCGTTTGTTTCTTTATCCTTTTTATACATGTCTTTTTAATACATTTATTAATATCTGTCTATATTTCTGAGATGAGGCATTGTAACTATTTACACTATTAATTTTCACAAAGTTTTCACAAATTCATATTGTTCGAACTATTCGCTTCATCTTTATTGTCATATTTACAACATTTCAGCCACGGTAAGCTCTGACATTCTTCAAGTGATATACGTTGGAATTTCAAACCAAACACTTTATTTAGTTCACGGGGGTAGATTATTCTAGTTCCACATGCCATACCTTTTCTGGATATCTC